AATTGCTTGCCAAAAAAATCAGCTGCAAAAAATCAGCTGCACAAAATTTGCTTGCAAAAAATTCAGCTGCAAAAAATCAGCTGCAAAAAATCAGCTGAAAAAAAATTGCTTGCCAAAAAAATCAGCTGCAAAAAATCAGCTGCACAAAATTTGCTTGCAAAAAATTCAGCTGCAAAAAATCAGCTGCAAAAAATCAGCTGAAAAAAAATTTGCTTGCAAAAAATTCAGCTGCAAAAAATCAGCTGAAAAAAAATTGCTTGCCAAAAAAATCTGCTGCAAAAAATCAGCTGCACAAAATTTGCTTGCAAAAAATTCAGCTGCAAAAAATTTGCTTGCAAAAAATTCAGCTGCAAAAATTCAGCTGCAAAAAATCAGCTGAAAAAAAATTGCTTGCCAAAAAAATCTGCTGCAAAAAATCAGCTGCACAAAATTTGCTTGCAAAAAATTCAGCTGCAAAAAATTTGCTTGCAAAAAATTCAGCTGCAAAAAATCAGCTGCAAAAAATTTGCTTGCAAAAAATTCAGCTGCAAAAAATTCAGCAGCAAAAAAATCACCTGAAAGAAATTTCGCTGCAAAGAAATTGCCTGGTAAAAATTAGACTCTAAATGTTTTGACGTTTTGGTGAAAACAAGCCAAAGCAATCTACACTCGATGAGGTGTGACCGGCTCAGTGATCCAAACAGATGAAAAACTCTAATTGCTGTCTATTTCTAGCTATTTGACGTCTTGTAATCATATCTATTTTACAAGAAAAACTCATCATTTAACTTCATTTAGTAGGGCAAAAAGCTACGCCCAACTGTTGTGTCATGTGATCAAGTGAGCTCATTTCATTGGCTAGAAGCTGCTCGACTGTATTAAGTGGAGATTGCTTTGGCTTCAGTTCACCAAAAGGTCGACACATTTGTAGGTGATTTTTTTAAATAAAAACGTATATTTTTCTTCCAGAAAAGTCTTAAATATTTTCTATACAATGTAGTTTAGCATTCTTTAATGTTTTAAGTATATAAATAAGTTTTTTCAATAACTTACGTAGTTTTTGGCAACCTGGATCTTATTATTCTGTTTGCGCAGGACGGATCGGGTCGTGAGAAGCAGCTAAACAAACCAATGCAATATTGTTTGTGTGACAATATTTTATTTCATATAGGAATCTAAACAGTTGTCAGTATTTTTAAGAAAGTATTTTAAAATGAATATTCCTCAAATACAGTCTGTTCCAACTAACTGTTGATCCCGTTAATGAAAATAATTCATTATTGAACTGAGAGGCGCTAACGGCTAATAACCTCCCTGTGGGATCAAAGGCTTTGCTTTCTGTTGGTATCGATGATCCCGTGTTCATGGTTTCATCTGTAACACGTTATCTCTGCTGTCAGTGGAGGTAGAATAATGGTGAAAATGAGGGAAGGCTGGAGCTGAATGTGCTAACCCCCCCGCCCCCCCCACCCCCCCAGTCTGTGTGGAAATAAACTAATAAAAAGAGCTGGATTGTCATTTAAGGTGGACTGGGGATGAAATGCCAGGAGAGCCAGCAGATGTTATTAGCTGTGTGTCTCTGGAGAAGGCCAGGACCCTCAGAGTCACCTCAGGATCATAACCAAAGTAAATGATCGCCCCCATATTCCATGTTTCTTCATATCTTGATTTTTTTTTGTATTTGCATTTAAAGTGAGGCCTGGGTTATTGATCTGTGAGCAGAGAGAGATGATATTGGTGCGATGAGAACAGATGAAGCGCGTCATGTAGAGGAGAGCTAACCGGAGGATCAGAGGCTCACGGCTGAATCCACATCATTTATTCTGCGTCTAAAGATGGATCTGCTGAGGCCGTGTTAGTGGAGCCGCCACAGGCCGGCAGAGATGATCGCTGGGGGGGAGGGGCTGTTTTCTGGACTCTTTAATGGTCAGTCCGTCCCCGCAGAGTCTGGCTCAAATGTCAGGTCAGCTATGAGGTGACCTCCTGTCTCCGTCCTCAGCAGGTTTTCTCCTCTAAGCTGCTTTGTTTTTATTCCTTACAGGACTGCAGGATTTCTTTACAGAAAACATAATTAGGTTTAAACGCCCCCCCTCTGCGGAGGCGGCCATCTTTCTGCGGTGGTCGCTGTCTGAAAGCAGTTTCCATGTTAACTTTGATCAAATCAGTGGTTTGATCCTCAGGGTGAGCAAACCTAACATCTACACACAGAATGTCTGCAGAGCAGGCCTGCAAATAACCATTATTTTACAAATCAATTCATCTGTTAATTATTTTTTCAATTAATCGATTTATTATCAGGTAGCAAAAGATTCCTGGAAGAAGATTTTCATCAAATGAAACTAAAACTTTCCTGTTTGAGGAGTTCTGGATTATAGAGCAGATTGATAGATGAAAAAGTTTCTTTGTCTTAAAGTCGTAGGGAAATCATATTTAAATATCAAATCATTCTGGTTTAAACATAAATATAAATGTTCTCTTTATCAGACCATATTGTCCCAAAAGTTAGAAAATTTCTATAAAAAAATGTTTTTTTCCGTTTTCTTCTGCAGGCCAGTTAGTTCTACGTCAGCCTGAACACCTAAATTCGGCCAATCATATATCAACGGTCATCTGTCAATCAAATGTTTTCGGTCATAGCATCTTGATTCATATGTCGCAGCTAATATACGCAACGGTTGAAACCAGAATCCTTTCCTTTCCCATTGAGTTGCGTCCCAGTGTTCACGGGGATGGACGTCTGTGTCTTCGGCAGGCGTAGAGCTAACAGAACTGGCAGCGTTGCGAGGCAAGGGCTCAAACATGTACGGCTGGAAGCCTTCTACACCAAACCAAGCTTCTGCCGCCCTGGCGTCCTCTTCCACAACATCTTCGTCCCCGCTTTCCTCCTCTAAATAAAAAATGGATGACGGAGGAGACTCATCCACGACCTCCGACACTAAACTCTCCTCCTCTTGCATGTTTCCGCTGTCCATAGCGTTCCTTGACAGCGTCGTTTCTAAGGCACCAATTTAGTGCTACTTGGTCCCAATGGAATTTCCCATTAGGAACCTGCTAGCACTAAGTTGCTAACTGGTTAGCAAGATGCTTCCCACAAACCGGCCACAACCAAACAACGAACCTTCCACCATAACAATCCCCTAACCTGACTCCGCCAGATGGATTAGCTCCGCATATCCATCTGGAAACCTTCCGTTGAAGTAATTTTGGGAAGGGGCGAAAATACTGGTTAGCTGATTGGCCTATGTTGGTGATAGACGGGCCAAATAAACCAATCAGATCAACGAAGCATATGACGTACTAACAGAGCGACGACGAAGAGGAGCCAATTGATCGATCAAACTCTTGCTGAAACCAGTGGGGAGAAGAGCAAAAACATCTTTTCCTCTGAGAAAAGCCTCCAGAGCAGTGTTTTGCTCTTCTTTCAGTGAAGAAATACTCTGTAATTCCCATAAAACTTGCTTAATAGCCACGCTAACGCTAGTTTCATCGGCTGAAGCCGCCATGTTCTTTAGACTGAACTGTCGCGCTTCTCGTTGCGTCACACCTCAACCCGCCTCAAAGCCAACGCTGATTGGACGTTTGTTTGGTGAACGGCTCCAAATTTTCTTTAACGGAGAGTCTCCAGACTGATCTGCGAGTGAAACCTTGAAAGCTCGCGAGATCAGGATGGTCTCACCAGGCTAACAATCCCGCCCCCTTGATAATCGACCAATTAAATTCACTTTATTCACTCGTCTAAAGTCGGGCACCACTCGGGAGAATTCGGAAATGCAACGATTGGAACAGCTGCTTTCCTACGACTTTAAATGCAAAATGGTTAAATGTCCATAATTCCTCCTATAAGCGGGTCGCTCTTTCAGCTAAAGGCACGTTGTAGAGTCTCCATACTGCAGTTAACTACATTAGTTGAGGATTATTTTGATAATTGATCAATCCAATCCACATCGCATCCACAACCCCTTTACAGGGAAACAAAACACCTCGCCTATTAAACCAGTGTTTGGTCCACCCTGTTCAGCCTGGAACTAAACGCTATTTCTGACATTTTTAATTGAAAAATCTTCCTGGATGGGAAGAGAAATTTCTTCTAACTTGGAAACCTTGGAATGGGGGTCGTTTGGCTTCTTTGTTAGCCTGCAATGCCCCATACCCGTCTATGTCTCTGAAAGGGGATTGTCGGTCTGGTCCTCCTTGTAAAGTGGTTGTGATGAAAGCGGGAAGCGATAAACTTCAAAAACCTACAATGCAGCATTTGAATTGGGCTGCTGGATAAAACCTGGAACTAAACGCTATTTCTGACATTTTGAATAGAAAAATCTTCCTGGATGGAAGAGAAACGTCTTCAGACTTGGAAACAAAGTCCATCGGATTGATTTTAACTTTTTTTGGGTGTCTTTGGTAGAAATAAACTGAATAAAAGACTAATTTTCAGAGACAAATCCTGACAGTAATGTGAAATTATGTAACATAAAAAACGTAAAATGTAGATTATTACACTTAAAAAGTGTTTGATATGAATTATGGCAAATATTTTTTTTTTTGCAATAAGCAATGTTGTTGCAGTGTGAGCTTTACTAAGGCAGGGAGGCCTTCTGAGATGCTGTTCTGGTTCCTCATGAAGCTCCAGAGTAACTCTGGTAGGTCAGCCTCTGCTGGAAAGGTTCTTCTCTCTGTCATGTGTGGATCCTGGTTCTGGTCGGGTTTCTTTGGACCCACAAACATTCAGAACCCTCCATGTTTATAACTTTTTTCTCCTCTGCTCTTGGTTTCTATCCTTCTGATATCTTTTTGCCTACTTCGTGCTGTGAGACGGTTTGAGATGTTGACGATGAGTTAGTTCCTGGTTTAATAAAGGGATGATGAACCGGATCAGTGCGGTTCCTCAGCGTCTCTTTCAGTCCGCCTCCATGGTCCGTTCTCCAATCACCGTCTGACTGAGAAGCTGTAACCTCTCAGATTGTCTCTGACTTTGAGGAAAGTTTGTTCAGCTCTGACTGCGGCTCCCTGGGCTGTGTTTCCAGGTAAGGCGCTGACCTTCCTGCTGCTGCAGCCCTCCAGCCCCAAGCTTCCCGCCCACAGCACCATCCGCCGCACCGCCATCGATCTGATCGGCCGAGGCTTCACCGTCTGGGAGCCGTACATGGACGTGTCGGCGGTGCTCATGGGACTGCTGGAGCTGTGCGCGGACGCAGAGAAGCAGCTGGCCAAGTGAGTGGCACACACACAAACACACACACACACACACACACACACGCGCAGCGTTATTAAATCGATGCAGACGTGACCCGTTTCACACCCAGAGCTCATCCGATCAAACATCTGCTCAGGTAGAGCAGAACTTCACACTGAAGCTGCAACTTGTTTTGATTTTGTTTTTTGTTTTTTTATCCATAAAATCAGACTAAAATGCGACATTTTATCCTTTTTTAGTATTTTTCTTTCTGCAGAACGGGCGGCTGCTCTTCAGCCATAAATCTGCTCAGACCAGCCAACCTTTCTGTCACGTTAGCAGGCAGATGGGATGAACGAGGTCTGGTTCTGGGCTGCAGTAGAACTCTCCTAACTCGCTGTAGGGCTTTGCTAAAGTATTCAGACCCCGTTTCCACATAAAAAACGTTTTCCTTCGGAAAATCCGGGTTATAAAAATCGAACTAACAATCGGCTTTTGTCTCTTTTCCCGTTTGACTGAAAAGCAAACTGATCCGCTGCTGGTAGCTGCATGGCCTCTGCCCCCCCGCCGCTGCATGTGTGATGACACCATCACTCTGGGTTAGCTTTGATGATGTCATCAGTGCGACAGAATTCATGAAAATAAACAATGGAGAGCAACATGAAGGAAAGCCAGTGGAAACAGAGTTGATTCTTGGATCAGAAGCGACTGGCGCGGCGCGTTGACATCCGTACGTTGCGTTCAATGGTATCATGTAATTTAGAGTCTTTTGACCCGGGTAGACACGCGTCAGTGAGTTGTTCCCATGGCAACTAAAAGCCCATTCTTCGGGGGTTTAAATGGGTTTTTCCCCCAGTAGTAAAACAGTATTAGTCTATTTTATCTGCAGACTAATTTCTACCACAGTTTGCTGCTTTCAGGTTGATTGAAACCTGAATACTTTGCTTTGCACCTCTGTCCTCCCCCTTTACTGTGATCCCCTTAAATAAATCACAAAACAACCAGCTGTCTCCAGATGTTACCTAGTTAGTAAATGTTAGTAACATGATCTAACCTGACAAGAGGCGGATGCAGAGAATTCTAGAGCCTGGAGCTGGTTGCTGACAGCGGGGATGTTTGCCCGTCGCCAGAAACACGGTCAGCTGGAAGGAGACAGAACAGACAATGATCCAAAGAGGAGGAGTTTAAAAATGTCTGACGGGGAGAAGTAGAAAACGGAGGAGGAGATCACCAAGGTGGAGACAGAGAGCCCATGAGACCTTCTTCTTCTTCTTTGACCAGCGGAAACACTGGAGCTGGACCCATAAAATCATCTCCTCCAACATCACCACAATGTTTGAGCCGGTTTAATGATTCTGATCCTGTTATCACTGCCATGCATCCATTGCAGCCGCCTTCCTGCAGCCGTTCCACCCCCTCCCTGCTCCAGAACGGGAACCAACGAGCGTTGGGATGAGATCTTCTCTGCTCTGATGCTCTGAAGTCAATCTGGACCACAGGAGGAAGAACTGGATGCTGCAGAGGCAGCTGGGTGAAGGTGGAGCCCAGGGGTGGAGGTTCTGGTTTGCTCCATGTCCTCCTCTCTGTCTCGCTTCCATTTCCTGTCTGCAAACCTCCAAAAACATGAAAATAAAAGTGACTCAAGAACAGAGGAAAAATTCTCAGGGTGTGAAAACTTTTTGAAAGAAGCTAAAGTTTTCACACCCTGAAATGCCTCAGGACAGTTTAAGTTGTTGTCATGTTTGCCTGATCGACCGTTAAATCACGGCTCTGATTCTGCAGCGGGCCGTTAAAGGGCTCATAGTGAGCGATGGAGGCGCCGCTGTAATCTGATTGGACGACATTACGATGATGTAGTGAAGTCTGTCCTGTTCTGACACCAGTCGGACCTGGCCTCCTTCCTAAAGCTTCTCTCCGTTTCTCTGGTTCTGCTCCGCGGAGCTCCGCCTCCAGGTGCTGCTGGTTCTGGACGGATCGACTCACGACCTTTTAAAATGTGTTTGATTTACAGAAGCTGCTGTCATTAATCTCCCGCTGCTGCCAGGTCCTAATGCTCTCCGCCGCTGCAACATTAGCAGGTTTAACCTGATAAACGCCGCAGCAGAACATCGGCTCAGTTTCCCATCAGCTGACAGAGTTTGTTATTAGATCCTTAAAACAGGGAAAAAGTATGGAAGAGGATTTGGGGCCACTGGACAAAAAAAAAAGATTTTTTTATCTTAATATGGGAAAAAAAAGTCAAAATTCTGAATTTTTTCCCCGTATTTAACTAAAATAAAATTAAAAAAAATCAATAAACTTTTTTCTTTCAAAGTGGCCCTAATATTCTTCCATAAAACAGTTTTATTACTGCACATTTATACCTCCTGAGGCGAATGGCTGCCTTACCTGTCTGGTTCTTTTGGGTTTAAAGGAAAAGTTTGGTCAGCAGGAATAATCAATGGATCATTATTTATAGCTAATACTAATATGTTTGCAGTGATTTAATCTATTTAGCGTTAATTAGTAAAGAAATAAAACAAAAAGTAATGCATTTCATCGCGATCACTGAGTCTGGGAGCGGCCATTTTCCCCCACATATAGTAGCCCCTCCCTCCTGCCATCTTCCAGCAGTGACGTCACGGTGCGGTAAGCCTAGCGCCATTCTCCCCGCTTTCCAAGCTAAATCAATGGGAACTACTAGACACATCTGCAATCAACAACAATTATTGAAGATTTCCAGAGGACTTCACCATTGAAATTCACCACAGCTATAGTGAAACTGACAATGCCCACGTGCATGGCAGCTGGATGCTGGAATACATCGGGTAAAAGTGGAAAAAAAGAGTTATTCCACCTTTCTGATTCCTGATCCTCCACGGACGGGTTGGTCGTTGGATCGCCAACTTGAAGAGGGAGGATTTGCCATCGAACTTCTGGCCAGAGAAAAAACCCGTAATATGTAGCCAACATTTGGAAGAAGAATGTTTTCAAGATGACTTGGATAATAGCGCGTTGTGACAAACACCAGATACAGCACTGGGACTTGATCAACAGCCGATACCGCACTGTGACGTCACTAACCAGTAGGTGGCAGTAGTGTTCTTTGACAAACATGGATGCCTCCAGTAAAGCACATTCACATGAAAATTACTGTGAATTAAAAACACTGATCATTTATTGAACAGGATGGAATCATTTCAGATTTAAAGAACTTTCAGAAGTTTGAATTCTGAATATGAGCGGATTTTTCCTTTAAACCACTGTCACACCTTAACCATTTAGACCAGCGTGTGCTTGATAAGTTGGATAAGTTATGGGTCAGTTTTCTGCACGCTGAAACACGCTGGCACACCTCGACATTCAGCGAGGACGTTGAGAAATTTTGGTTCACTCTATAAAGCCTGGAACTCAACCCTATTTCTGATATTTTCCTGGATGGGAAGAGAAACGTCTTCAACCTTGAAATCAAAGTCCAGTGGATTGATTTTTTAACTTTTTTGGAACGACTATGACCTGGATGACTGAGAATCTTCACCAGCAAGTCACTGAGTCGTTCCTGAAACTCTCCTGAAACTCTGGAACTGTTCTTTCTCCTGTCAACACAAACGCTGACCGCATCGCCATGGAAACATCTTCAGAAGAACCGAGCCAAAGTCTGGCCTGTTTGGTGGATCTCATGAGATGATCAAGAATTTACACAAACGGCTGCGAATGTTAAATACTCGGAATGGAAAAACGCATTTAAGAGGTGATTTATTTTTTTTTGCCCCTAAAAAGATTAGAAACTGTCAGAACTTCCTTTGAGTGGATTAAAAACGCCCATTGTGCCAAATCAAAAGATAAATCTCTGTTTTGCTTCCTGAGGCGTTTAGTCTGGAACAAAGCGGTTAGAAAACCGATGTGGACCAAACCAGTAAAACCACTGGAGGAGGAGCAGAGCTTCCGGGTCGCTCCTGGATTTTAGGTCAAACCTTCGCTTCATGCCGACTCTTCAGAGTAAAGCTCCACCTGCAAAGGAAATAAAGATGGAACAGAAAATCATTCAGTGACCATTTGGAATAAAGACCTTCTTCCTTTGCGAAGACCAGCGGGGTGAAAAGTACAAACATTTGTTACTTCAGTAGAAGCATAGATGCTGCAGTTTAAAAACACTCTGGTAAAAGTTGAAGTATCAACTTGACCTCTTTACTCAAGTAAAAGTGAAAAAGTATGCGCTCCAAAAACTACTTAAAGTATAAAAGTATAAAATAACCTTTAAAAAAACAGCCAGATGCCGCTATATGAAATTAAAGCTCAATTTTTGGACTATTTCTATAAATCCTCTGAGATAGGGCCAAGGATGAGGGAGGTCTTGTTGGTCTCCGTCTCCCGATACGCTCTCGCCTGTGTCCGACCTTTCAGACATTTCAACATCTTTTTCTGAATCCCACATTGTAGCATGGTATAGACAATTCACGTTAGCAGTTTGAAGAACACCTGCTTGCTTCTGATGATTTCCTTTAGCTAACCAATGAGTGTTTGCCTTCTATGACTCATCCGATCACACTAGTTTTCACTAGATGTGGGTGGAGCCAATGATCTGCATTGGATGGAGCACATGACGGGAAATAAAGATTTAGAAACATTAAACCAGGGTAACCAATTAAAAATCAGCGGGTCTGAATAAAGAAAATCATCAACCAGTAAATTATTTGATCGTTTTATTATAATCTGATTGTTTTGGTTTCATAAGTAACCGGTATTTAAAATCTAAAAGTCACCATAAAGTTGTATTTTTTAGTCTGAGACGACTGACTTCTCTTTCCAGACCTTCAAAATAAAGTAAGGTGAGAGCCTAAAAGCTTTTTCTGATAGCTATTAACCGTTTTTTAGCTTTCTGGGAAAATAAGATGCTGTTAAAGGTCTGCGATTACTCATAATTATTGCCCGCTATTTCTAGCAGAAAAACAAAATGAACAGATCGATACAGGAATGATTCATTTTCTTTTCAATTCACTAAAAAGAACTGCTGTCTCCATGACTACTGGCTCTACCTTTGCTCTGATCGTTCCTCCAT